CACTGGTCAGGCCACAGCTGGAGTACTGCGTCCAGTTCTGGGCACCACACTTCAAGAGGGATGTGGACAACATGGAGAGGGTCCAGAGGAGGCCACTCGCATGATCATGGGGCAGCAGGGAAGGCCTTATGAGGAGAGGCTATGGGATCTGAACCTGTTCAGCCTCCACAAGAGAAGGCTGATGGGGGGGATCTTGTGGCCTGTTACAAACTAGTCAGGGGGGATCAGCAGGCACTGGGGAAGTCCCTGTTCCCCTGAGCACTACCAGGAGTGACCAGGAATAATGGTCACAAGCTGGCAGAGAGTAGATTTAGGCTAGATATCAGGAGGCGCTACTTCACGGTCAGGGCAGCTAGGATCTGGAACCAACTTCCAAGAGAAGTGGTGCTGGCTCCTACCCTGGGGGTCTTTAAGAGGAGGTTGGATGAACACCTTGCTGGGGTCATTTGACCCCAGTACTCTTTCCTGCCATGGCAGGGGGTCGCACTAGATCTACTCAGGTCCCTTCTGACCCTAGAAACTATGAAACTAAGTTCAGGTGTCCCTAGACTCATGGTGAATGCTGTCCTGAGTTGATCTAGCTATAAAGGGGGTATGGGTATGTGGTTCTAGGACGGTGGGGGTAGTAAAGGCAGCTGGATGTGAAGCTAGCCACATAATCTTTAGTATGGAAGGAAGCTATAGAAATTGGTGTATTTTAAGCATATTTCAGACTCCCCATTAGGCTTGGGTAGACTTGATTTGTGTGAAGCATCCACAGATACTTGATTTGGAATATACTGCCAGAGGGATCAGCGCTTAGACTGAGGAACTCAAACTGATCTCAAAAGCTGCAGCTGGTTACAGAATAAGGCTCCTGAGGTGTAACTGCTCCCAGAACTTTCTCTAATTTTTTGGTAGTAATACTAGGATCTATTAGGAGTTACAAGGAGAGAGAGCAACCTTGGGACACTTACCTACATGTAAACCTAAAAGTGGGGATTCCTTGGGGCCCTCTTCTGGACATGATTCTAATTCAGTAATAGGGAGGATGGTTGCTTGGAGGATGAACTAGAGAATGCAGAAGCAATTTGTGGGCAACATCAAACCGGAAAAGTTTGCCAGCTGTCTGGAGGATCAAATCAGAATTCAAAATAATCTTGATAAATTGGGAGAGATGGTCAGAAATCATGGTGAAATTCAATAAAGACACCTGCAAAACGCCACAGTTAGAAATCAGCTGGGGAGTGAGCACTTGCTGAAGCAGGAAGGAATCTGGGAAGTTACATGAAATAAACTTCTGAGTCAATGGTGCTGTTGCAAAAAAGCAACTGTAATAGTTAGACCAGGGAGGTAATGGGTTTTAATCAGAACATGGGAGACCTCAGCTGGCAAACTGCACTGTTTTGGGTAGCACTTTTGAAGAAAGATGTAAACAAATGAAGGATGTTCTAGCAGTAATAATTATGAGGGGTCTAGAAAATATGACCTTTGAGGAAGCTGAAGGTCTAGAAAAGGCTGAATGGGGACATGTAGAATGTAAAAGGCTGCTGAAGAGCCTGGTGATGAACTGATCATCCTGTTGTTTTGGGAAAAGACAAAAAAGTACAGCTTAACTTGCAGCAAAGTAGATTTATAGTAGATGGGGCGGGGGGATGGACACTAATGAAAGCAGGGACATGCTGGAACAAGCTACACATAGGTGGTGGAAGAACAGGTCAGACAAACATTTGTGGATTGTCTCAGTGTGGTGGATAAGACAGCCTCTTGCCATTCCTCCAGCATAGGCCTTTTGGGATTCTAGATCATTGTGGCTTGGGTCTTGGAGTCTTTCCAGTTCCTTGTCCTCTAAAATAACTGTAATTACTCTTAAGTTTAATTTTCCTCATTAATACATTTTATCTCTTTACCTTTTCAGGTCTTGAAGTTATGCCTTGCACTCTGAAATTGGCTTCAGCCCTAACCTGTAGTCCTGTCTCCTTGCACCCAACTACTTGATATTTGAAATGAATACATATAGCTTTGTAACTAATACTGAATTATTTTTTCTGAAGTGGGAGGGGGGAGAGGGTCTTTTTGAAGTGAAAATTTGCTAGCATAAACTCTGATCTGGCACTTAGTTGTGTAGAGCTAAGAGTTGGCCTTTTGGTCAAATTCACTGAGCTTTCTGAAGAGAGAGAGAAGCACTTGGCTACTAACATGGTGAGCGCATTGTAGACATTAGATATCTTAGTTATTAGGTTAACACCTACAAATACAATACAGGCTTCTTGCTACTTGAAATGATCAGTTACTTTAAAATAAATCCTGAAATCAAAATTCAAAATCCATGGATTTTATCTGTAATTTATCCATTCTGTGCCTGAGGCATTATAGCAGAACTTGCATTGCAGACTTGAAAGTTGTACTGTCCTGAATCTACTTGCATGCATTGGGGGTGGGGTAGGTGTATAATCAGAACTATGCAGAGGTCCCAGTGCAAGCTACCCAAAGGCACTGGCAGTCCTTGCCAGGACTTGGTAGTGGTATAAGGCCTACCAGTTTGGGGTTGGTAGTAATGGAGCTTTCAGGAGCAAGTTTTGGGCACAGCATCCATAATAAATGTTTGTTAATAAATTATTGCTAATAAGGGGATAAAAAATCAATTCCATCAGACTTTAAGAACCTGTATGCATCTGTCTAAAAGACTGTATAACCTTTTGATGCTTAATTGTACAGAATGTTTTATCTTGAGTACATTTAATAAAATGTTGTGAAATATGTTGTTTATTGAGTTGACGGAATCATGTCTCACAGCACTGAATGCAGTGTGGTGCTCAAACTCTTTAAACTAGTGGTTCCCCACCTTGTTAAGACTAAGCACTCTTTAAAAACAAATTCTAGTTCTTGGCTTTTGCTCAGTTTTTGACTACAACAACAAATAATAAAGGAATTCTTCTGTTTTGGGGAACTTTGGAAGGACTGCAACAGGGCAGAATGTTTCTGATGTCATGGATTTGTCAGCGAAGTCTCTGAGCTTCATCTTCTAAATTTGCGTTCATGTTTTTGCACACCTAATAGTGCTAATATTACACAGCATCCTGCAACCCACTTAAAAGGATCTTACATTGCTGTAGTTGAGAATTACTGATTTAAACAAAACAGTAGCAGTGGCTTTGTTCAAATAGTTTGTTCACCTCTCAATTAGTTACTCTGTTAACATGCCACCCTGCCCTGCCTTCTGGTCTGAGGGTCCTGTTCCTCTTCCTAATAGTATTTACTTCTCACTCTTGCCTTCAAAACTTCACAGCTCTGCTCCCTCTTTGTAGGCTTGTCTGTTCCTGTATCCAACAACTATACAAAACCTGCTGTCCTGTTTTAACTTCCTTCTTCCATGTTTTTTGCCATGTTACTGTCCCTCTATGCTATTCTCCCATTGCCATGTACCTCTTGAGGCAAAGGGTAGCAATCTATGCAGAATTAAACATTTTCTGGTAATGATCTATGAGCTTGGAATAAGTTTGCAAGAAAATCTGAATTCTGTAGACTTTTCCTTCCTGACTTCTGCTAATGTCTTTATTAAAATTACTGTAAGGTGGTTATTTCCTTCCTTGAAGACTAAACAGTTATCAAATGCATAAATACATCCGAAAGAGTAAAAGGGGCAAATGTGTGAGAGCAAATTCAGAAACTGCCATGTATCCATAAACTTAGGTTTTCCTAGTTTATAGTATCGTGTTTCCAGATAAGAGAGGTGGAGTGTTTCCATTCTACAAATGCTGGTCAAGTTGGTCAGCAGCAAAGCTGGGTTAAGCCTGGTTACCTCTCAGTTGGAGGTAATTGGGCTTGGTCCAAGAAGTAATGACAGAAACTCCCCTATGGCCTGTAGGATCTTCTGGCCTTACGCTATTATATGTAAAATTCAACATAGGCTTTTTGTCTGGCTGCAAGCCTTCTAGTGCTCAACAGGAAGCTGATACAAGGCAGAAGTAGAACATGTGAAGCAGGATTTCCTGTCGGCGGCAGTGTTTCTCGTGTCAGTGATGTTCTGTTGATCTGTTTTGACAGATTATAAGATACTTCATTTATAATGTTTTCCCTAGTTCTCGCATCACCAGGGCATGCTAGCATTTAGGTTGGAGAAGCAGCAATGAAATGTTATACCTTTAGAAACAGGCCATTCCCTTTGAAAGTTTAAACAAAATGAAGTCTGATGTGATCAGGAGCGGATCCAGGATTTCTGAAAATGGTGCAGAAGCAACAACGGATGCTACAGGGGTGGCTGCAATTTACACCACAGGGGTGGCTGCGCCCTCTGCTCCCAGCTGCTGCCTGCACCACTGTGGGCAGACTTTATTTTAGCCCCTAAAGCAGGTGAAAACCCCCTCTCCCCCATCCTGCTCAAGGCAGCCCCTTCCTGCTTTCCCCTTCCCCACAACTCCCCCCACTGCCACTGCTGCATTCTCCACTGCTCAGGGAGTGGGGAGCTGCAGAGCCAGCCAGGCTGAGCAGTACCTGGGCTCAGCCAGAGAGGGGACAGTGGCAACAGCCTGGCTGGAGCAGGTGCAGGCAGGGGGATCCCTGTCCATCCTTGCTGCCCCTGTCCCCACCCCCAGCTGAGCCCAGCCCTGGCACAGCAGGCAAGAACAGCTCTGGGGCTTCCCGTCCCCAACAGTGGGAAAAGGTGCCATTGCGCTTCCTGCCTACCTGCCCATTGAACATGACATCTCTAATGAGGTGAAGCTATGGAAAAGCTTGTTCTCATCAAGCTTACATCTGGGGGATTAAATTGATCTTCAGGTTCCCCTTCAGTTATTTCATACACGGATGTCAAACTCACTTTGGGCTCTGAGATGTATCTGGCCTGTGGGGTCCCTTGCAGGCTGGATTTGGTCTTGGTCATGGGGCGACAGTGACAGCAGCTACTGTGGGCACCGCAGCACTGGTGGTCATCACAGTGATGGTGGAGACAGTGGCTGCAGGCAAGGCAGTCACTTGCAGTCATAGAGGCTGGCAAGGTGGCTGGAAGCAGCCCATGGCTGTGTCAGACAGCTCTCACTCACTCCATATCCTCTTAGGACCTAGGGGTCAGGATTTGGTGCCAGGCTACATCCCCTCCTAGTCATGCCCCCAAATTCCCCAGCCTGCCAGTAGCCCAGCAGGCCGGGTATAGCAGCTGTATGTTATCCACCCCTGATTTAATGGCAGGAGCACTGAAATACTTCTGAAGGACAATGTGAAGCCGGCATTATTGTTACAGTATTGCCAGTCTCTCTAGCTGACCTTCCTATGTAACCTTCTGACTTTCCTGACACCCCCAGAGGAGCTGAGTTTTGTACAGCACTTTTAAGATGTTAATTGGTGGCAAAGCATTATCTTGGTTCCCTTAGCCTCTCCCCTGTCAGCAGGGCCTGCTTTCTGGAGTCTCTCACTAGAGGAAAGGGCAGGGGATGCACAGTGCACGCTAACTGCCGCTGTGCCTCATGCCAGCTGACACCTCAAACAGCCACGTTTGCTGCTGAATGGCCGCTGGTCTCCTTCCAGATCACAAGCTCATCCTCTGAGTCTAGCAGACCAGTGGCCATCCTCTTCCAGACTCCAGGTCTTTTATTGCTCCCCCTGCCCCTGGGCTGTGACCCCCCACCCCCCCGTCCTTGCCTCCATGCCGCCTGGTTCCAGAACTTTCCCTCAGCTGTTTTCTGGTGCCATGTCTCAGTAACGGCTCCCTCCAGCACCTGCGTCCTCACCACAGACACGCAGGCCTGGCTCCAGGCTCACTGAGGCCTGTCACCTACGGGAGGGGAGGGAGCATAGAAAAGCTGTCTTGATTCTGGCTGCTTTTCCCTGCTGCAGCCAAAGTGTCGTGGTATGAACTGCAGGAAGGCTCAGAGCCCTTGTCAAGGTTGATGCATCTGCTGCCTAGGGGTGGAAGATCAGACCTTGCGGGGCATCTTCCTCTTCCCTTTCCAGTGTGTTGCAGACAGAAAATCCTACACAAGACCAGGCAGGGAAGAAAGAAATGCAGCCCAATAAGCTGTCATAGGGATGAGGCATTATAAGGAAAAAAAAGGGCTAGCTGGGGGAGGTGTTTCTTGTGTGAGCTTCCACTGAGCCGAGGACAGGAATGACTGAGGGCCCAGTGCCGTCAATGTGAAACCCAGTGCAGGACTATTTCTTTATATTTAAAAGCCTCTGCGTGTGTGTGTGTGTTTACATTAAAAAAAGTGTCCTAAATTGTTAAGGATTCAAAGACTACCATGTGACCAGGAATATTCAGTAAATTTCTGGTTCCACGTGTTTATTGTGGCAGTTCCTCAAAAGGCAATAAAAGCTTACTACTGCTTTGTGGTAGGGAGACAGCTCTTTTAATTCAGGTGGCTGTGACTTGGATTTGCAGTGCTAAAGCTTTAGGGTTCAATTACCAGTGTGGCATGGGAGGGCTTCTTGCAGCCATTTAGATCATTTATTAGGGCAGGGATTCCCAAACTGTCGCTGAAGATTGCATCAGTCTAGTTTTAGGACAAAGGTGCATGGTGGTCTGCAATCAATTTTGAGAGCTGACAGTGATTATTAGTCCAGAAAGTTTGGGAGTCTCTGGGTTAGGGCAATCAAGATACAAGATGTAGCCAGGTAAAATATAAGTATAGGTTTTGATTTTCAAATAAGACGCATGAATTTTGGGTGCCCAGGGTGAAGGTGAGGGTAGTATGTGGGACTGGGTCTTCTAGAGCAGTGGTTTTCAACCTTGATAAACTCAAAGCATCTAGGGGAGCCATCATAGAGGACATTCCAGTTTTCTGCTAGTCTGTCCTCTGTCCTCTATTACTAGGAAACTGGATGCCTTTATGTCCTCTATTTTTCTCTTGAAGAGAGGGGCCTCAATGGAGGGCCCTCTCTTTTCTTGAAGAGAAAAGTAGAGGGCATAAAGGCATTCGGTTGTGTATCAACAGAGGACAGAGGACAACCAGACTGTGCTCTATGACAGCCACCCTAAAAGTGACCCTTGTTAGACTGAAATCAATTCTCAGAAAATGCCTGCTCTTCTTTGTTTCTCATTTTTTGACTACAGAAAAATAATAGATCAACTTTTCTGTGGCAAAGAGCTTGGAAAGACTACAGGAGGTCAGGCCGTTATTAACACAGTGGAGTCCTCTTTTGAAATCTCTAGGTTTATCTTGTGAATCATTTTTGTGCACCTAACAGTGCTAACTAACATTGTGTGGTTCCCTGTGGCACCATTGAAAGGGTCCCAAGGCTGTTGCGAGTGTGTGTTAGAATGTTTAGTAGTATATAATGAATATGAAGTATGTCGATATGCATACTGCTATAAGATTTGCAGTAGCCCTGTGCATGCTTGGAGAGTATTTGTGAGGCTAGAATGTAGCAGGAACAGGCATTTCTTTATGTAGTAGTATATCTGGGAAGCAAGGTTTTGTCTGAGCATTTTAAATACACTTTAAGCACTTACTGGAGCTCCTTGGGAGTTGTGTGCTTGCTGCCACCAGGCTCCCACTGCCGCTGCCACCGGAGCTGTGCCCCCCGCAGCTGCAGGGGGCACTGTGTTCATGAACGCAGTGCCTTATTCGTGGATTTTGCCATTCACGGGGGATATGAGAACATATCCCCCGTGAATGGCAAGGGTCACTTGTATAAGTTGACAAGGTTATGGATGTGTTTATAGGTTGCATTTTTTGCATCAGTTGTTCATTTTTAAGGCCACATCAACAGGTGGTGTGAACATTTGGTTCCCTGGGGACAAATATCAACATCGCACCTTGCGCCGCTGCTACTTGTCCCCAGGGAACACCTATGGCATGGGTGCTTTGGCACATGGCATGTTGCCCCAGGCGGGGTAGGGGAGACTGGGGCCAGCACAGTGCTGGCCTCAGCAGCCTTACCTAGTGTGGGGCCTCCCGGGGCTGCCACAGTGGCAATTCTGCTGTGCAGAGCCTGGCTGGCAGTCGCAGCGTGGCTCTGGGTGGCTCAGCTCCAATTTTGAGTGGTGCGCGCTGCCTGTGTGTGTGCTGCTCTGCTTTTTCTTTTCCATGGGGACATCCAGGGGTCAAAAAAACCTGGGAAAAAAGGTGGAACAGCACATGCTTGGGCAGCTCTCCCTTGCAGTGTGGAGGATATCTGAGTGTGTGGTGCCACAGACAGGTTTGCGGTGCCACATACCGCATTGCTGCGCTCATCCGGACGTGGTCTAAGTGTGTATCTTCAGGTTGAGTGTTACTGACAGCAGGCCTATGAGATCTCATGTATTCAGGGTAAAACTTGCTCAGTAAGCAAATAGGATGGATTTCAAGTTGAGAATTGACTATTCCCTTAAAAAGTTGTGAGGCTTGCACAGTGTGGCTGTATGGTGATGTGAATGGAAGGAATTGTGCTTGTAGGTGGATGATTCGTAGGGTATACAATGCTCCATGGAGGCCCCTCTCAACAAGAGAGCTTCATTATAGTCCTTCTTTTACCTGTGCTACTCATTTTATTGTCTATGCATTTATCTGTGTCCTAGAACAGAGATATTTGTCCTAAGAATGGGAGAGAAAATGGGAATGTCATTTCAATCATTGGGATCTCATTTCAATCATTTTATCTCTAACAGGACAGTACTTGATCCATCCAGTATGTCATTTTCTTCTTCCAGCCCAAGTACCTCCTCATCAGCTTCTCTAAGTGAAAATGAAAGTAAAATAAACCTCTTAAGTACTAGCTCATCTGAATTGGTCTTAGGGCCACAAAGTGAAGACTTTACCAAGGATTTGTCTTGTACCCTGTGCCTGGAATGGTTTCAAGATCCAGTGATATTGCCTTGTGGCCACAACTACTGTAAATCCTGCATTGAAGGCATTTGGGTCAAGATGGTAGTTTGCTCCTGTCCCGAGTGCCAAGCAGAGTTTCCAAATAGGCAGTACATTGCTAACTCTGTGCTAGGAAAGGTAGTAGAAAGGATCCAGGCCTTTCACATGGAGAGATTCCAGCAGAAATGCAGGGAACACTCTGAGCCCCTTACGCTGTTCTGGAAGATGGATGGGAAACTGGCGTGCTTTCTCTGCAGAGATTCCCAGAAGCCTGAAGATCAAAGCTCCCAATTCCTTCTCCTGTCAGAGGCTGTGCAATTGTATGTGGTAAGGTTTACAGGGAAGCAGGACTGAAACTGCTATTTTCTTACCTTTTCCAGAGAGAGACTTTCCTGCTACAGAAGCTTTGGAAAATGTGACCCTTAGGCTGTTGCTAACCCTCACAATTTTAGTGAGATTATCTCCATCTTTGGTGGTATTCTTAAAGCCCCAGTTCCTGGAATCCTGTGATTATATGAGAATCCCAAGGTATCATTTAGAAGTAAAAATAGGCTTCTAGCCCTCATAGTTACAAAGCAGCACAAGTACATCCTCTTGGTTTCAAAACCAGAAGGTGAAGAAAATGAACTCTGCGTTTCTTATTTTAAAACATTTTCATGATTTTTTACAAACTGTTCTCATAATTATGAGGGGCTGAGGCATGATTTTTGACTGATACTTTTGGTGAAACAGTACTGATAATTCAAATCAGCGTAATTTTTGTGTACAAGGGAACCAGTGTAATTTTTGTGTGCGGGGAAAAGAGCAGGATTTTAAAAGCTCATGCAAGATACATGCACCCCTGTGTATTATGGGGTCTTCTTGTGTACCCGTGCGTAACAGGAATGTTTCTTTTTGGACCTGAAATGTATGCTTCCTCCTGATAGTGGTAGGTTAGCTGTATTAGTCTGAACTCAGGCAGAGGGCAGGGCAGGGTGGCACCAGGAGACTAACTAGTTTGGAGAGGCAAGAGCTTTTGTAGGTGACAGCCTACTTCCTCAGATGCCAACTGATTCTATCAGGTCCTGACAGAAGGCAGTTGCTTTGAAGTCTATCAATATAAAAAACATAAAAAAAAAATGTACATTTTATATATAGGTCTGAGTTCTTCCTGAAGGTATCCCTTCTATACCTTTCCTTCCCCTTAGTGGGAGCATGGCAAGCATCAGTCTAATCTAGAAGCTAGAATCATCAAACTCCATTGAAATATGATGATTTAGGAATTGCCACAACACAGAGCCAGCTTAGGCTGCACACTCTTTGGCCTTATTCGTTCTTATCTGATGATGAGCTTGCTGGCAGGCTCAAGACAACATCACTCTGGCTAGTTACATTTCAGCATGATTAGAAGGATTCTTCCCAAACATAAGAGGTAAAAGCTTCATTTTAAAAACCTTAGAATGCCATTCTGCATCAGCTGTTAGACCCAGACCACTGGGAAATTTTTTGATTCATCACTAGAGATTGGAAGTTCCCATTCAGTTTTCATTTGCTAAGTCAGAACCTTCCTCATTGTAGGGTTTGATTTGTTCAGATCTTTGCATTTAAAGAACTCTTGGTTCCTTCTAAAATTTCTCTTGCAGGGAGGTCACTAGGATTAAGTTCCGTAGCAGAATTCATTTATGGAAGGAGGAATCCCTGAAGGACAGAAAATCTCTTCTTTAAGTATATTTAGAGGTTTCTGAAGAAAATCCTGTCTGAAGAAATGGATTTGTGCTTAATTATTTAAGCTTGACCCAGTTGAAAATCTCCCTTTAAATTCTGTTTCGGACTCTAGTTAATTATTGTAGAGTAAATGAAACCTAAGGGCAGTTGCTTGTATGTCCCTGATGAACTAATCCCTCATGAAAAACAGGACTGTAGGAATCCCTTTGGCTAACTAAAAGGCCTGTGTTCTTTGGTTGTGGGAGCAGTGTTGTTTTCTGGGGGTGGTTCTTTGGGGGAGTGTCTTCTGCCCTGTTTCTTGAGATCCTGGCATTTTGGAGAGTTGTTGGTCACGGGATTGCTATCATGCATAATGCTCTTTTTAAAAGGGGAAATGAAAATGCATTGATTCACAGGGCATTCCGAGTTTGAAGATTTACAGTAGTCATTAAAGAAACAGAAATGTAAAAAACAAGTACAAAACATGATCACCAACATGCTATGTATTTAAGGGGTATGAGCTATTATTTTCACCTCCCAAACAAATATTTCACATCACAACAGCACTCCCAGCCTGTGGAGATGTTGTAGACTGAGGTTTCTAAACCATCAACCTATTTCATGAACTCTGTCTCTAGATTACAGAGAATAATCAAAGTGCCTGAAAACAATTTGCCAGTAACTTTATCTAGCACAAGTAACTAATATAATACTGAGTAATGCTTGTGTCTGTCATAATGACAGGAACATCTGATCTCGGCCAGAACTCATGTGGAGTCCACTCTGCAGGAATTAAAAACAGTGAAAAATGCTCAGCAAGAGAAGATCTCATGCCACAAAGTGAGTAGCATCAAGTCAAAAGGACCTGGTTTTAATATACCTCAGCTAGAATTCTCAGCAAGAACAGAACTCAGATTCCTTATCAGAGCAGAGAGTCTAGGCAGGGTAATCAGTTTGCTATTAAGAACAAGCTTCTGTTGGTCACTATATAGTTGCGGCATATACCAAGCATCATAATGCACAATGAAATATTCCTGCATTCAAATAAACCTTTGGCATACAGACATTACAGAAAAGCACCTGGATGACTCTTTTGGCTTTTACTCACTATGTACCTCAATTGTATGCTGGGCATCCAGTGCCCATAAGCCCCAAATGTCTGGATAATTCTGACTGACACCTGAATTTAAGATCTTTTGTGATGCAAAATTCTGGATGTCTAAATTTTCCCAAGGACTGTTGATGTCTTGAAAGTGTATCTGAGATGTGTGTACATTACCTGTAATAACTGCAGACCATGTTGTGTGCTGTCACGGACGTGTTAATTTAGCAAACCAGCTGAGCAAGAGTAGAAACTGAATCAGTAGTTTCTTAGACGAACAGTTTACAGGTAAAGCAAAAAAAAAAATAAATCCTCGTATCTAATCTGAAGACAGTTATAAATAACTATGATTCGTCCTGAACCTGGTTATTCTAGAGCAGAGGTTCCCAACCCCCGGGGCTGCAAAGTGTTGGCTGCTGGTCCGCAGGAGGGTTGGCTGCTGCACCGGCAGCCAACTCTTTTTTATACTGAGTATATGCATGTATATGTGTACTAAGTATTAAAAAAGGGTTGGCTGCTGGTCCACAGTATGCTGGTCACTTCTGGTCTGCAGTATGCTGGTCCGCAGTTTGCCAGTTCACGGTCACTTCCGGTCCACAGTTTGCTGGTCCATGGTTTAAAAAGGTTGGGAACCACTGCTCTAGAGTTCTTCAAAGCCTGTGATATCTATTCAAAGAAGGTCATGAAATTTTTCTTTGGTTACAATTTACATTTCAGAGAGGCTCAAAGTGAGTTAACCATATCCACTGAGTTTCAACTGGTATCACACAAACCCCCCAGTTTTTTTTTAAAGTTTTTGAAGAGCCATATGTACATTTTGAGACAGTTACAAAAACTGGGGGTAGCTGGGTTGGTGTAGACTTCCAAGATACAAGTTTTGTTCAGTTTCTTTTCCTTTCTTTTTTTTTCTGCATCCTCTTTTTCTTCTTGACAATGATTCTCTCCTCACTAGTCACATCTTTATTTTGAAAAAGGTAGCCAAGTACAATGCTTTACTACATACATCATTCACTACAGGGTTTGGAAAGGAATCCAGAGCATTGTACAACTGGTTGGGTGCATTTTTTTTCTTCTACCTCTGAACTTGCAGGTATTTGTCAAGAGAGGAGCTGAAATCAGAATGATGGATCAATGGTCTTTCTTGTAAATTAGATCTTACAATTATATAAGGAGTCATAGATGATATATAGGTTCCACTGGGAGTTGTAAAACATGAAACAAGTGTCACTCTATATTAGGAGCTAGTCATATTCAATTATACATCTTGGTGTTTTCATCCAAGGGCGGATCTGGGGGTGAGGGTGCAGAGGTGCAGTTGTACCCCACTAATTCCTGCTCCATCCAAACTTTAAAGGGGGGTGGAAAGGGGAGCAGCAGCATTTCTATTCAGGAAATGCTGAGAGAATCAATTGACTTCATTGGTCATTATCAGATCCTTAATTCCTGCTAATCTACCTCCACTTCACAGGTGTTAATGACCATCTCTCCGTTTTAATGGTCTTGAGGTTCCACTATCCAAATTATCCTATCTTCTGCAGTTTTGCTGTCTGTTATCTAATTCTGGTAATGTCTCTTTTGTATTTCACAGCCCTGCAGACTGCTTTTAGCCCTAGCTAAAAACTTTACCTCAGGTGTAGAACTGACTGACAATGAGGTATTGGAGGCAATGTCAAGATGCTCAGGAAGACTAGATTTTGTTTTATGAACCTGAATAAGACATTTATATTTAACTATAATGGTTATTACAGTACTAATGACACAATATCTTTTGCCTCCTTTGACTAATTTTTGCCTAGTTTCTTGTGTTTTTTTGAAAACTTTATATATAATCTAGTAAATCAGTGCACATTCTAATAGTTATTTTTGTTTTTGCTTTGAACTTAAACTGAATGATATAGTGCTAGTCTTTTAGCATATTAAAAAAATTTCAAGGTTATCTTTAACTGGAAATGTGTTGTGTTATATGTGATGATATGCCACACCATCTGCATACCTCTTTTCAAAATCCTAGATCCACCCATGTTTTCATGTGATGCTCCTGAGATCAAAGATTTCCCATCTTAACAAACTGTGTTTTCCAGGAAAACAAGATGCTTCTTCAACAAAACATCAGCTTACAGTGTCTAAAACTTCACCAGTTCCTTCATAGCAGGGAGAGAAGATTAATGAATGAGCTGCAGGAAGAGGGGAAGATCTACCTTCAAGAAATGGAGGCAAATCTAAATATTCTCCAAGAAAAGTGCCACCAAGCAAAGGAGACACTGTTACGCATTCAGTCCCGGCTTTACCAGCACAATTTCATCAGCTTCCTAACAGTGAGAAATCTAGACTTAAATGTACCAAGACATTCTCTATGCTCACGTTGCTCTACTGACAGAAGTTCTGGTAACAAACAGAGCTGCCACCACAAACCCACCATAACGCTTTCATACCCATGTGTTTCTGCTGGGTCTACATGTCTTCCTTAAGCAGCTGGGCCACAGGGCTGTAAAATGCACTTCTAGGCTGCATCCAGCTGTGCAGGGGTGCGTGCTTGCAGTGGCAAAAATAGTAGCAGCACAAATTTGTGCTGCTACTTTTTGCCACAGTGCATGCTCCTGTACGTGCGCTTTGTTGTATGTGTCTCTGTATGTCCCACTTCCGGCAAACTTCCCTGGCCTAGGTCCCCCCGGCTCCTGGCGTGCTGGAGGAGTTAGGGCACAATGAAGAAATGGAGACACTCCAGCCAGCAGCCAGAGTGTCTCCCTAGAGCAGTGGTCTCCAGAGTGGGGTGTGCACACCCCAGGGGGTGCGCAAGATGATCCATTGCGGTGCAGGAAGAAAATATTAGAACTTCTATTTCTATTTATTTTTTATCTAAAAAAATAAGAAAGAAATTAAGCTTTACTAATATTTAATATATGGATTGACACTGGCGCTCTTATTCAGTCCGTATGTCAGACAGTCATGTGTCACATATGGTATGCAAGCAGTACATGTATATAATTTATAAATAAATAAATATATATATATTGGGGTGCATGCTCAAAAATTTTTTTACTGATAGGGGTGTGCTATCAAAAAAGTTTGGAGACCACTGCCCTAGAGGACCAAGCCTCCATGTCTGCTGGCATACCCACTCTTCTTGCATGCACCGTGCCATGTTTTTTCCCAGCACTTTTTTTGCTATCAGGATTTTCTGGTAGCAAATTTTGGCCCATGCTGCAGATTTGGTACCAGGGCACAAAGAGGTTTGTGGTGCCACAAACTGCACTCCCTTGCTCACAAGCTGCTGAAGGCACTACAACAACTGGCAGAAGGTATGGGAGTGTCTACACATTTCTGCTAGAGGGTGGCAGAAGCTTTACCTCACTTGGCAGAGGTATTTTATCTTTGCTAGCAGAAAGGATTATTTAATGTCCAGTATCAGAATGGGCTGGGAAATGTCAAATATCCTGGGAAGCATGTTTGCTGTACTACTTCTTACCATGCCTATGAGAGAAACAGAAAATGCTCTGGGGAGGGTTTTTGTGAGAAAGAGGCTATGATGCGTCAGGCTTATCTCCTATGAGAGTTCAGAAATATTGCAATAGAACTGGCTGCTGAGGTTTTCAATATTATTAAGTACTCTGTAGCAATTATACAGTTTTTAACGTCTCTTCTAACTTTTCTCTCCTTTCATTTTACAGGGTATAAAACCCTTTATGGAAAGGTAAGTCTGAGCTTGTAGAATTCTTCAGTCTGTATCAGAACTCATACGAAACAGTTAAATTGACAAATTAAATCATTTTCTGTTTGCAAAACTGTTTAAGAACAGATGGTAAAATTCTCAGAATTGGTGATAATCCACAAATTTCCTCAGGAAACAGTTGTTGGTCTCCAGATTATTTGCAGAAAGTTATTTGAGAATATTCAAAATTTGGAATTTGGGGTTGGCTATGCCTTGCGTAAATCATACAATATTAATTTAATTCCCTGATTGGATGACATATATAATTAATCAACCAAGAGCACAAATGCTGAATTGCATATTTACTGTTAAATAGTTACATAACTTGAAATTAACTCTTATTGTATACTCAGGTTTCAGTTTTGCTTCATTTATGTATTTGTGCCAGCAAAGGCGGCTTGCTAGATTGTTCCCAGAAAGCGAACACAAAAGGGGCATAAACTGAGTCAGAGAGAGATGGGGTTAACATGTTCAGGAGTACTTGCATCAATACTTTTGTAGTATTAGCACTGCTGCACTCTCTGTATTTATCAGATTCTATGATCTCATATAAACAGGCAGTGTGATTTGTGCCTTATGTAGCTTGGAGAAAAATATATCCGCTCTATCTAAGGGGGATATGGTTTCCCAAGAGCTGAACCTAGGACAACTCAAGGGTCCAATCCAATACACTTTGTGGAAGGGCATGAAATCCATCCTCAACCCAGGTAATGGGATATTACTTTATTATTCTTTACAGCCTCTCAGACACACATGTGATTTTCTTTGTCTCCATTTTATTTTCTTCCTTGCCTTGCTGCTCCTTTCTGAGTTTCAAATGAGTAATGAACTATTATGTACCATTTTCTTTCATTTCTAGTCTGTCTCCTTCTGTAGCTCAAGTGCTATAATAATGGGCCTATTATTGAGTCCTGGAACCTTAAAGATTTAGATCCAAAACAAAAATGTCTCAATTGAAATTTAATTTTTGAAAAAAAATGAACATATTCCTGGTACTATTAGAGTTTGTGCAACTATTTTTCCAAACCAAAATTTGGGGCTGAAACCCGTGAGTTTCCTTGTACCCACCTATTACACTTCATTTAGAAGGAAGGGTATGAACTCTAACATATTACACTGCATTTGTATTTCACTCTATAACCACTGCTCTGAGCCACCGAGCATTGTAAATGAGAGCAGGGAGACTCGTCTATGCTCACATCATCCCCCCTGCTGGTCTCCAGGCAGCCAGAAGGACAAATCAACCCTTGTTTAGAATGAAGATGACTGAGGAATGGAAGGGGAGTGTGAGCAGCATGGGGAGAGAGATGTACAGAAGCCAGAAGGGGCAGGAAGCAGTGGGAGATGGGAGAGGCTGGGTGCAGGTAATAGAGGAAGAAGGAGACAGGAGGGGTGGGGCTTGGATAAGAGCCAAGGGGAGGGAACAAGGAACTGTATGCATGAGTAGATAGCCACATATGGCAGAGAGGCTAATATGAGCACAGGAGGAGAGGAACAGGGAAGTAGGATTCACAGAAGCAGGGAGGTGGAGAGAATAAGACTTGGTTAAGACTGCTGAATGTCCTGTTGGAGAACTGGGTTCTGTCGTTGCCTCTGCCACAGAGTTTGTGGGTGATTCTGGGTAAATCACTTAAACCCAGGTGTTTACATCTGGCTACTTACTGTGTGTTCTTCACTTTCTGAGGGCCCAATGTAATGTACCTGGACCCAAATTTGTAGAACTGATAAACACAAGTGTTGAAGTCAATCTGAATTGAGATTTGAACACAATATGGTTTAAAAATTTAAGTCTCTTCTCTGGAAAATCAGAGAAGGCACATGATCTGATTTCTAGTCCTAGTCCTAGTTCTGCTATAAATTTCTTTGATAGTCTTGAGCCATCTCTCTGGGCTTTGGTTAACCCATACATAAAATATGATACCTAGCAAACAGAGGCCTTAGAACCCTTGTGAAATATGGTTTGAGAAATGTAAAGCCTTAACACTAGTTAGCTGAAGAGTATGGTTACAACTTCTGGATTCAGATCAGTGATCTCTCCTCTAGCCTAAATTGAGTTCTACTAAGGCGGGAAAACACAATATAACTTGATTAAAGAGGAAAAGCATTTTAAGAAAGTACTGTTTGTTAGTGGAAACAGGCAAAAGAAAACATATTTTTTTCCTCCTTTACTTCCTGCCCATTCCTGTCATACAGTTTCCTCTCTCCAACTGAACTCTTCATATAGTTTTAACTTGAGTTTGGTTAAACCTTCACTACATGGTCTGAGTTACTGTAGTGCTGAGGTCTGCCATTCTGGACAGCTTTGCAGAACCTGGTTTATCTGATTCCACCTGCTTGGTAATGTAAAAATGTTGGGTAAGAGGGAATTTGTTTTCTAGTGGTTATTGTGGCATTAAAGAAAAAAACAGTTCACATGCTCTCCCTGATAATTATTTTTTACTCTTTAACTAGGTCTGTCCTCTATAACTCTGGATCCTAATACAGCACATCCAAATCTCATTCTGTCTGAAGATCTGACCTGTGTGAGACATGACAACACAAAGCAGATGCTCCCAGACACTCCAGAGAGGTTTGACTCCAGTGTTGCTGTCCTGGGATCTGAAGGGTTCACCTCAGGGAAACATTATTGGGAAGTGGAAGTAAAGAACAAGACAAAATGGACTTTGGGAGTGGTTAAGGAGTCCATTAACCGGAAAGGGAACAACACATTAACACCCATGGATGGATACTGGCTTATAAAGCTGAGGAACAGGAATGAACTTAAAGCACTGGATAGAGTCACCACGAGTCTGACACTGAGCACTAACGTTTCTAAGGTTGGGGTGTATCTGGACTACGAGGGGGGACAGGTGTCCTTTTATGATGCTAATAGGATGTCTCATATCTATACTTTTATGGACACTTTCACAGAGAAAATTTACCCATACTTTTGTCCATGTTTGAATGACTCTGGAGAGAACAGTGAACCACTGAAAATCTTCAGCAAGAGGGACCAGATGTAACAGCAACTCCACTGGCGAAACACATGTTTGTAGACACCAGTGTTTGAAGCCATAGGCCTTATAAAATTAATAGCATGTCATTCTCTAAAACTGGTGAAAATGCTGCATGTAGCTTTGCAGTCCCTTCCAACCCACACAGCATCATTAGTGTTTAGTTTGTATCACTCTTACCTTTGATATTTTCTAGTATAGGGGAATAGTCTGGGGATTGGAAGGGTTTTCAGGTAACACTGATGGGCAGGAACTTTGCCTTGCCTGAGTTCTGGCTTATCTCACTGTTCTGTGCTGAGGGACAACCATACTCCTCATTTGACAAACGTAACCAGATCTTTTGGGCTGGGATCTTGAAAGGGTGGGAAACAAACTGAGCAAGTCCAGTGAGGATGGGGTAAGAAACCACTAAGGAGCCAGATGAGAGTGGGATTTGGCTAAAATACAGGGAAGAGGGGATATTTGGATAAGGGAGTGTAAGTCCTAGCCAGGCGTTGAAGTATTGTGGGAAGAGTGCTGAAAATTACTATATTTCCATCATTGTTCAATGGTTAAGGGGACCTTCTTTGGCAAGGGTTAGGTCAGTCTTCTCTGCATATATAATAGGCTCACATGTCCAGCGCTGGGGATATTCTGTTTAGTCAGTTTAGTGCTTGACATACCATTCTCTATATACATGCAATTTAAAATGATAAAATTAGAAACAGGTAGGGGCAAAGGTGAAATACAAAGAACAACAGAGGGTTTCTGACAGCTACAGAGATTTTATTGCTAAACACGACTAGGGCAAAAAAAAGTGGACCTGGGGTGACCAATTATTGTACTAAAGTTGGAACAGGTTACCACTGGCTGCTGGCAATGAGCCAGATCTTTAAAGGGATTTAGGTATCTAAGGATACAGGGAGCTGCCTACTGGGATTTTGTAAGACACTTATGTGCACTTATGTGTAAATTCAGCTAAGTGCCCTTTTGCATGTTTAGGTGCCTAAATATACCACAATTGACAAATCTGGCCTAGGAACTCAGCAAGGCCAAAAAGAGAGAGATTTTTCCCCCCAGCTACTTATTGCCATTTTGCAGCTATCAGCTCAATCTCTGTCTTGTCTCTGTACCAGAATGCCAAGTTCTGCTGTCCTGTCATGTAAAGTGTTTTTTCCCTCCCAATGTAAGCTCTATTAAGTTATGAAAGAGGAGGATCTAGGAAGTCAGACCACAGCACTACTGAAATATATAGGCATGAGAAAGATGCTAACCTCTTAACTTTGAAGTCAATAGCAAACTTTCAAAAACCTGAATGGGGGAAGGACAATCACCAGATCTTCTCGTGATTAAGAATTTTAAAACCCTCAAAAGTAGTGCAGAAAAGTGGGAGAATGGAGCGGAATGTAAAAATATCCAGATATGGAATATCTCCTCCTTCCCAGATCCCCAATATGTGGCTAGAGATATCTGCTAATGGTAATTAATATTCAAGAAGCCCCCTACATATAGAATATGCTATAGAGTGCCCTTAACAGCAGTTTTATTATATTTGAATAATATAAATACCTTCACTCTTAATGCTTCTGAGGAAAATTAAAGTAAGCCACTGAAATTCTAACAGGAATCCTTAGTTTGAGATAAGAACACTGGTTATGAAAGGAAAATACTTGTGTCCTGATTCTTTTCTGATTTGTAGCAGTTTTATACCGCTGTGTAAAGAAGAAGTATTAAGTATTTATGCTCAGGGTTATATACCTGTTGATGTTACTGTTTTTCGGGTTTAAAGTTGAAAATATATATTACTGATTTTATTTCTGGTTAATTCTTATTGTTTATTAAGTCATGGGTTGAATATTGGAATGCTGGTTACTGGAGCATCATTTCAAACTGCGTTTTCTGTATAGCATTTGATTATAGAGTTTAGATAGGTATTTAGTTAACATTTAAAATGCTTAGCACTTCCTTTAACTCAGCTGAAAGCTGTATGCTAGAATTTCCGTTCTCCAGCTGGGTGTTATCTGCTTGGCTTTTTTGTGAGTTTACTCTTATTGGGCACTAATAGAGATAAGGCCACAGAATATATGTATGCACGTAGTGTTATGATGCATCAATCAGTTTGCTTGTTTTTTTTTATGAAACTCTTGATTGCTAAATGGCGCAGCTTGTATGCAGAACGATTTGCAAAATATAAATAAATAGAAGAAAACTGATGTGCAAAGATAACATCACATTCTGTTTATAATCAATATGCAGTTTATTATTTTCATTTTGCGATGGAAGCATTTTATAGCATGTTTGATGTGCAAGAGAGAAAAAAAGTGGTTTTAAACAGTATATAAAGTGATAAAACCAAACCAGTAACTCTTGGTCAGTTGTTTTTCAGCCTCAAGTTGACCTAAAGTAGGAGTGGACTGAGTCCTTGCCAGGACTGCCCTTTATTTGTAAAATGACGTGACATTTGAGATGGCTCTTGTTTTACTGTGAAGCTGTCTGGCTGTCGATACACACAGAGCCGTCTCTTCTGAGGGCAGGCAGGGGCTCTGCGCGGTGGGACGTCTCCCCTCTACGGACCGTGCGTCTCTCGTCTCTGGCCTTGTGCACCTGTGATTAGCCGGACTGGGCTGAGCTGGGCTTGGGGCGGGCAGAGGGCCGTGCTGTGGAGCTGCTGAAGGACACGGTGCGCAGAGTTAGCATCTTCAAAAACCTTCCCCAAGCACCTCCCAGAGAACTAGCCTGGCCCTGCCCTCCCCCTCCTCCTTTTGGAGATGGTGCTGACCAGCAGTGCTCTCTGCTCCCCTCCTCTGCAGGCCCGAGGGGGCTGGAGGGGTCGCCCCACCCCCCACCGGCCTGGCCTGGCCTGGCCCTGGCCCTCTCCTCAGCAGCTCAGGAGAAGAGTGGGGGAAGGCAAGGCGGCTTCCTCTGGCAGCGGGATGTTCAGGAGCTGCAGTGCCTGGTTCTCCCAAAGCGTCAGCCGGGATCTCTGTGACTTCTGGGGTGAGGGGGGAGCGCGGGGGTCCCCTCAGCAAGGTGGAGAGGCAGGGGGCTGGTGCCTTCCCTGCCCTGAGGGGGAAGGCAGAGAAACAAGCCCTTGAGAAGCGGGGAACCACAATCCCACCTGTGAGACCAGTGGGAGCCAGAGCAGCTCCCTCCCTTCTGGTAATGGCTGCATGTGCCTGGTTAGTGATGGCAGGAGGGAGGCCGGCAGCTCCGGTCTATCTCTTGGCAGACGCTGCTCCCCCTGGCCAACCTGATCTTAGCAAGAGCACTGAGAAAAGAGCTTGGGGAGGGTGTCTGTGGACCCAGCCAGGGTGAAGAAAGCTGGGGAAGGCCTGTCTGCTCCCCTCGAGCTGCTAGGATGGCTTGTGAAAACCACTTCAGCCAACTTAAGCCAGAGGATGCCTCTGGCAAGCTGTAGAGCACAGGAAGGGCAAGGGCAGCTTTCTTTCCTCCCCCCTGTTCTTGCCCTGAGCAGAGCCCTCCCACTGGGAACAAAGCCCCTGAAACCGGGTAAAAGAAGGGCCAAACACTTGAGCTCAAACAAAAGCCATTGAAGAAGTGAAGTAGGGAAGATAAGATTGATATGAAGGCATATACCCCAGGGATCTACTACCCAAGGTGCCTCATACTCTCATTGTGAACTCTTTTTCAGTGGCTGAAGGAGGAGTGATCACAAATCATCATGATGCCGATTACCTGTTCAGTAGCGATGCCTCATGCCCTGATACACAGAGGTATCCCTTGGAATGGTTGCTACATAGCTGTTTTGCTCTGTTCTTATCTATCCAATACTTTTGGATGTGCACCAACTCTAATTCCCCACTACCTTATTTTCTGAAAGAATCTACAGCAAATAAGTCTCCTACCTTTTCCTGGTTTAATTATGGACTACCTGTTATGAGAATCTCCTGACTGCACTTCTCAAAATATTGTACATTCTGCATCTGTTATTACATGTACTGCACAGTATATAAATCTAACCTCTTGGAGTGTCTCAGCTATGCAATTAATTACAGATAACTAGACAAACATAATGTAAGACAAAAGATTAACACAAATGACTGTGTTAAATAACAATCCCAATATTTGAGAGAGAAATTAAAAACACAGGATGAAACCCTTAAAAGAGACTCAGTCTGGGTGTGTCTACATGTGGTTTTGCACATGCCTAAATTTAATGTGCATTTGTTTAATGTATATTAAGGCAATTAAGGTGCATGTCTACACATGCATGCACTATGGTGCATTAACATGATGTGGACACTGACTTGGGACTCAAGTTAGTCCCAAATCAGTTAACATACACAGCATTAATGCCTTAGTACATCTACATGTGCATTAAGGCACTTTAGCTATTCGTGCATAAATTTGATACCTGCTTTTGCAGGTATCAAATTTATGCACGAATAGCCTATAATCACCATTTTGAAGGTGCATTAATGGCACACACATGTAGACCCGCACCCTTAATGCACCTTAAAAATGGCTAATGTGCCTTAAATTGGCATGTGTAGATGCACCCTCTGTTCCCATTGACATCAATGAGAGTTTTATTTATTTTAATTTCCCATTTCAATCAATCCCACTGAATTGATTGAAATGGGAAATTAATTCAGTGGGATTGATTGAAATGGGAAATTAATTCTCATTGAAATCAATGAGAGCTATTTATTTCAATGGGGAACAGAGATTGGTTAATTCTGGGCTATTGTGAATGTGATTTTCAAAAGAAGCAGTAGCTCAGCTGTGTTGGAGAGGATATGTAATTGTTTGTAAAAACATATCAGGTTTTTTCCCCCCTCATACAAAAGTTGTGCAGCTTTAACAGTACTATCAAAGTAAAGCAATACAACCCCCTTAGTTTAGACAGATTTCTACCATTAAAAGTGCTTGTACTGATATTGCCTATTCCTATACAGGAAGGGGAATAAAATATACTGATGTACTGATGCAACTGCATCCACATTGAGGGTTATATTGATGCAACTATTTAAGTAAAAACAAAACAAAACAAAACACACATTTAACTGAACCTTGGTATAAAATTCTGTGTAGAGCAGGGTTTTGTTCATGGGTCAAATATTTAAACCTGAGTGTGTTTAGTTTCCAAAGCCAACTTTGGTTCTGCTGTGAAGTGAAATCTTGGGTCTCATATACTCTCCCCACTGGTTTTTGGGAGCCAGATGACAACCTTGAGTTCTGGTATTTTTGCTGATCTCATTCCTTACGCCACAGTGCAACTAGGAAGGAAAGAAAACAAAAGGCATAGCAAATTAACTTACTAAAAGCAAAATAGGAGAAGTGAGAACATAGCTTGCTAGAGATAAAAAGGCTGATTTGTGAAAGAAATACATTTTATTTTCAGTTTGCCAAATTATTACTAATGGAATTGAACAATGCATAGAAAACAAAAGGAGACGTGACAGTATTTTGGAAGGATAACTGCAAAACTTAGAAATGAAGGAAACTATCCCATCATTAAATTACTATTTATGTTAAATATTTAAGTTAGTATCAGGTAAATATATATTACCCATGATATACAAAGAGGATGTTGGATCTACTTACTTAAGCAATATATACCAAGTTCTCCAGATAAAAGGGTTCAGGAGGATAATTCAAGTTATTTCCTAAAAACCTAAACCTGATCCTTATCTACTTAGTTTTTAGGACACCCAACCAGTCACGAGCTCCAGCCCTGATGTGAATCTGCTGAGTGTGTTCTGATGATATTACAGCAGACACAGAACCTTTCTGAGTATGGGGCTGTCCCCATGCTGATCATCAAATGTGTTATGTGCAGGTTGTTATGTGTATGTGATGGCTTTGAAACATTTTAAATATATTAACTTCTCTTCAAAGGACAGGCACCATTTCTGTGGCAAGTTGCATAACTATGCCAATTAGTGCATAAAGGTGAACTTTTATCTGACCTCCCAGTGCTTTACCTCATGCTTTAGAATGATGTTGGGACTGAGTCTGGAGTTTTGGTAGAATCCCATATATGAAATAACAGTTATCATTCACACAATAACATACTGATTAACACTTTTCTTATCCCATGTTTTGGTGCTAAAAATAATGGAAGTTTACCATTCCCTATGATGTGAAGTTGTAAGCAGTTCATGATTTTCCTACAACACCTGATAAACTATCACAATTATCAGCTATCTGGTAGAGTTCTATGTGGTTTAGCTGTCATCTATGTGGTTTAGTTCTCCTAGAGAAAACATAGAACCCTGAATTCAGATCTTGACAGGTAATGAAAGAAAATAAAACATCTTTCAAGTAATTTGTCTTAAAAATATATCTATAATTTCGATTTCAACATATTAAATAGTCTGCTCATAATTTTTGGATTTGTAAATGTTTTGCGCGTCTATGAAAATTCTTTGTTCACCTTTAGAAGTTGAATACTTACATGCTGAAAACATTCCCACTGGATTTTAACATTGTTAAAGATGTTTAATTTAATTTCAATAAATTGATCATTCAGACATTCAGGGTTTTTTTTTTCCTTGTTTGCTTTTATAAACACATTTCATCTTTCCCCTCTAGAATTCACAAGAGCTGTGATTATATTGATGGAAAAGCTACTGTATTTCACTCCTGTTATCTCTCTGCAAATACCAGCTCTGAAATGAAGCAGACAGTGCTTTTAGGTCACTTCATCCTTCCTCCTGCCTGCTTGCAAGAAGGTTAGAGAAAATACATAAATGTGCATACACAATTTCCACATTGTTTTAAACCACTGTGGAAGCATAGCGACATGGAGGTCCATCATCTGGGGTGCCTCTGCTCAGGTGTCCTGGGAGCAATAAGGAGCAATCCTATGATTAGCTTCCCACAGTTCTGCAGTGAAGAAGGATGAGAGCTAAGTGTTATCAGCAGTGCTTATTGTTTTACTTGGTGCTGTCCAAGGGTAAGCAGTGTGAAGTAGTTTTGACTATAGAAGAAGCTGAAGTTAACTCTATTATATCGTAAATGCTGCTTCCTAGTGATCTCCCTTAAGGTCCCTATTAAAATCCATTACTTGACTAATTAGGCTGTTCCTACAATAGCTTATGAATTTTTTAACAAGTTAGTCTACAGGTGCTACTCTGCCCTGCCTCCTGCCTGACTTCAGACTAATACAACTAATTACCCTTCTTTCTCCAGGCTCCTTGAAGACAAGGACAGGTTTGATAGGCATCTTCAAAATACAAAATAAGGATTGTTATAAAAAGTATGGTGATTAACTGTTAGAATCATAAAATCATAGCAAATTAGGGTTGGAAGGGATCTCAGGAGGTTATCTAGTCCAACCCCCTGCTCAAAGCAAGACTATCCTCAGTTAGATCATCCCAGCCAAGACTTTGTCTAGCTGCATCTTAAAAACCTTCAAGGAGGGAAATCCCACAACCTGTGGAATTTCACAGAGGACAAGACAAGAAATAACAAATTTAACTTGCAACAAGGGAAACTTAGGTTGGATGTTAGGAAGAGCTATCTAATTATGCAGGTGGCTAAGCATAGAAACAAGTCACCTGGGAAGGCTGTGGAATCTGTATCGCTGGAAGTTTTGAAGTGCAGGCCAGAACCAAGCACTTGGCTGAGGTAGAGTAGGTAGAGATGATCCTGCCTTGAGCAGGGAGTTGAACTAGATGATTTCTGAGGTGTTTTCCAGTCCTACTTTCTATGAAGTGATTAGCCATCACACAAGTATTGTTTGCTCAGAGAAGGGTAATTGTTTGTTGCTTAACAAATGAGTGGGTACTTGGAGTTGCCCCTGTGTTTGGAACTGCAATTCCTTGTATCTTGAGAGTTGATCCAGTATGATTTTTCTTGCTCTCCTGTTTTCCTTATGATCCAGAGGGGATGTCCTCAGCTACTTCACTGTTCTTCATTTTTTCTGTTCTCATTTAAAAAATTTCAGCAGGACATGGTTGGCTGTTAAATACTATCTTGTTAGTTTGTGTGTGTGGAGTCAGATTTTCAGAAACACTAATTTTGGGTGCTCATTTTAAGGTGCTTGATTTCAGAGGTGTTGTAGACCCACGTCTAAGGCCTGGATGCATATTAACCCATACCCCTAACACTGTGGACTTTCCATTTATATATTACCTCTCCTTGTTCCATCAGATCTCATAAGTGAATCATTAGGAATAGACTGAATGAGGTCAGGAAGGTGAACTGTGACCAGGTGCTCATCAGGTTCATCTCCACACTGTTAATCTTTTTCATTTTTGTTCCTACTTAGCAAAGATTTCTGGAAAGATCACCCCTGTTAACTCTCTTTAGTTCTCTTTGCAAGTCCTCAGTCAGAATTTTTATTCTGTATCCTATCATTATATGACTTGAAACTTTAGAAAAGACGATCTCTTGTTAAGGGACCGATTTGTTTTTTGTTGTACAGGTTGCACCATACCATTATGCTTTTGATATGATCTTTCTTTTCATTCCAGAAATTAAAAGAAAAATTGGTAGTTTTATATGGGAACAGATGAATAATTCCCAGATAGAACAGGTAAGACAGTACTAAATGCAATCTTGCCCTGCTGAAAACAATGGTAAAGTCAACATGACTTCAGCTGGAGCCAGGCTTTCATTGCAGAGCTCTAAGGGAAATACTGGGCAAAAAATGCTGCCTGCCTTGCTTATCACATTATGAAAATTAAGCTGCCTGCTTCTGCTTTTTGCCTACTGCATATGCCCCTTTGAGAGCATGGCATGTAGGGGAACACATGGGCAGAACTTCTGCAAAAATGGATTTAGGGAAGTAACCTTCCAGTCTGATTGCAGTGCTTGTTTACTCTGGGTGACATAGTGGTTGTCTCTGGTAAGAGGCAGCAGGAGCTGCAGAGCAATCATTTGAGGTGGCCTGTTTCTCTTTCAGAGTGATATCATTCTCATGTGTAGCCCTGAGATGCAGCACACTGTGTAATAGTTTGGAGGGGGTAGTCCAAAAGTAGCACAACTGTGAGCTTAGCTATAGTGGTTATGTTGGTGGGAGTCTCGTGATGGTGGTGAACTTCCTTGGGGAAGTTCCACTGATGTTGATCCTCTCAGAAGACTGGTGACAGTCAGAAATATTTAAACTGCTGATTATTAGAAGCACTTTCCTTTGCTTCCTTAACAAACTGCATCAAGACAGACGGTGCTGTTCACTAATCAGCTACATTAAATCGTTTAATTAATTAAAATTTTCCTTGCTATTCCACAGCTTGAAATATTGACACCAGCTGAAATAAAAACTGTTGGGGAAGAGAAGGAGCAAAGAATAAGGGGCAAAAGAGACCTGACTAGAAGGTATTCCTTTTATTCTCACTGCGGGATGGCTTAATCCTGGTTTTCAGCACTTGCACACATGACGCATACAATATCAAAGAGCTGTTGACTCTGGATTCCAAGGGTCACTATTTACATGCCAATGTTAATGATTTTTCCATTGATCATGTTAGGAGAAGCATCCAATTAATATGTTTTTTATCAGGACCTTAAACTGTATTCTACTTTTTCTCCCAATATATCTGTCCCTCTGCTGAAGCTTTCAATGTCTGCAGTGCAAGTGTCTGTTGTTCAATACAAGTACAATGAAAACTGAAGATCCAGAGCCTGACTAATGTAAAATTAATAAAACAAAGGAGACTATTTGCAATTATTTAATACATTAGACAACACGTGTCTAATAAAAATTGCTGTATAATTTCCAGTTTAGCATACAAGGTTCTTTGGGTAGATGCGATATCTTTTATTAGACTGAGTAGTTGGAAAAAAGTTCTTTGCAAGCTTTCGGGTGCAATCACCCTTCTTCAGGCATAGGAAGTCTCTGCTGTTCTGTTAGAGTCTGTTGGAGAGACTTCCTATGCCTGAAGAAGAGTGATTGGTGGGAGTCTAGGGATTGTCTCCCACCAAGCCAGATGATCATGCTATGAAGTTTAGGTCATCAACCCGGGCTGTAGATTGGCAACTGAATAGAAAAAAACCTGAAAAAGCTGTGAATAGCTGACCTTGTGGGCAGAGCCCATTCCTAAAAGTATGCTTTCCAAAGCATAAAACCCAAGAAAAAAAAGACAGTGGGTTTTTTTGTTTGTTTTTAAATATAACAGTATAGAAAAACCAGTCACAAGAAAGCCAGCAGGAGAGAAGCTATCATGCTATCCACTACAAGACTACCCAGTGAACAACATGGTGACAGGTAATGATCAGCATAGGGCAATGGAGACCAACCTTTTTGGCAGATGTGCCACAAATTAAAACCCCTGCCCACCCTTCCCTTGCCTGATTGGCCACTCTGCTCTGTTCTGTGCTCCCTGCCCAGTCTATTGCACTGCTTTCTGTTCCCTGCCTATTCAGCCACTGTGTTGCCTGCTTCTTCCTTGATATGCCACAAGCCACGCACAGGGACTACACGTGCCACTTTTGGCACATGTGCCACAGGTTGGCCACTCCTGGCATAGAGTGGGGCTTGAGCATTTATATGAATGCTATTAAGGCCCTGCTATAGCCAAACACTCAAGCACAGACTGAAGTACTTAACTAAAAGAAGACCTGAGAGGTGCTCATTTTTCTCTAGGGCAGTGGCAGTTGCACATATTTCTCAGCAAACCATCTCTCTATGTATCCCATGAGATGATGTTTAATACAATTGAGCAGTTTTATCTCAAATGGGAAAGTGTAATAACATACCAGGCATTCCCATGTTTGATGCTGTCAATGTCTGCAAGTTCTAATATTGTATATTTTGCCTCATTCTAGAACAGTGGTTCTCAACCATTTTAGACTCAAGGCATCCTTTGTTAGACTCAGGACCCCATTTCTTTTCAAGACCCCATGTCATTTCTTTGCTTTCACTCATTTCTCAACTATGGAAAAATAATAGAGCAATTCTACTGTTGTGGAGCACTCAGACCACGGGTCAGAATGTTTTTGACACAAGGGATTCCTATTGGAAATCTCTGGGTTTATGTTGTAAATCATGTATAAGTGTTTGTACTTTTAACAGTGCTAATATTGCATGACACCCCTTAAGAATCTAATGACACAGCATGATGCAGCAGCATCACCCTGGCTGAGAATCGCTGCTCTAGAAAATCCAGTAACTAACACTAACTCCACAGTTTCTATGCTGTTTATGGCTACACATGTATTTTCATTTTGCAGGTCATGTCCCTGCTAGTGAGATGAGGAAGTATGTTGGAGAACTACGCGATTTCATTCCAGGCACTTCAGATTATGTGGCCTATTGGGTTCAAGATGAAATTAATATTTTCTCTGATGTGAAAAATAAATTGAAAAGAAAATTATAAATGACAGAGATAAAATGTGGGATTTTGGGTTGTCAACAATGTTATCAAATATATGTGTGTCCATTCTGGTTGACATCATCTTTAGTGTTTTAAATGCCTACTTTTTTTCTCTCTGTTAATTGATTACTCTGAATTTCACCAAAATGACACTCAACATTTTGTTAGGTTGGGAATTGAAGGTGGAGGTCTGTGAATTCTAATTTGAATTTCTATTTCTTTTGGCATTTTTCAGCTAACCCAGGCTAGTTTACTTAGGTTGATTCACCCTCAGTGTGCCATAATTTATTGGATGCTCATAACATTTGAACAAACTGGTTATATTTGCTGTTGAAAATCTTCTTCTTTGTTATCCTCTTAATTTGTATTTTGTATCAAAATTAAATATAGACTCTGAAATCATTGTGCAATGTTTGCTTTTCTTCAGGTAACTAATCTCAGTTTCAATTTGACTCCTCTCACAGGATTTTTTGTTTCCTTTTGTCACTGAAAAGAAAAGAATCTTCTTAGTTATTCTGTCTACTAAAAGAGTAGGGTTTCTTCTCAAGATACAGCTCATAGTCAGTAACTCTCCCTTTCTGTAAGGAGGAAGATGCTAAGCCAAATTCTGGTCTATCGCATATTATTTACTAACTCCATAGGTGTTTGTGAGTGTGACTGAGGCAAATTTCCCTCTCAATACACATGTACACAGAGTGCATTTAGTGCAAAGGAGTCTGTCAAAACTATTTGCTTGCACAAACTAAATCCATGGATTCCCTCACTTTCATTGTCAAATAAACCTTAAACCACAACTGAGGTTATCCCAGATAGCAAGAGAACTACTATTTATTGTACATTGGCACCCTCTTGTGAAGATTGTAAAGAACTGCATATAGTGGCATCCATTTTTATAATAGAATTATAATTGTCCAAAAGTTAGACTAATACAGAGCTTGTACAACTCTGATCTGATTTTGAAGTCATTCAAAGCAGCTGTATTCTGACTTCAGTGGAGGTTTAACACTGATGTGAGGTGGCGGTAGGGAGACTGAACAAAATGAGCCAATCAGGAAACCCACATTAACAGCTGGGTTGTTTTTTTTAACTAGAAAAGCCAAGGGACCTTCAACCCCTATAGCTGGGTAGAACCTCAGTATTACAATGTCTCTAAGTTGCTTCCAAGCGATTACTGCCACAATATGAGGGAAATCTCCTTTTTCTTTGATTCGATGATTCCAGTCGAGATGGAAGTTTTGGTTTGATAGTGGTGATACTTCTGAAGTAAAAATAACCATGTAGGGGAAATAAAAACATCCAAACCCCCTCTCTCTGTTGTAAAGAAGCAAGACTAGGCACATAACCTTGGGTTTTGTTGTTGTTGTTTTTTTTCATTTGCAACTCATCTTAATTTTTTTTTTCTCTGCTATTGGCTTGCTTGGCCTGATGTGTATCACAGATAACCAGCCCTTTCAACAGGAGGAACATTTGCCAGGAGGAAGTGCACAAATGGGGATTTAAAAATCCACCACTCTAACATGGGGCGTGAAAAGACGTGACTGAAGCTGTATGAAGTTGGCATACAACAAAGTGGGGGAGCACAGAAACCCCGGGTGACTGGTGTGCTTCACACTGTCCCCATCTCTCTTGCCCTGGGCCAGTAAGTTTGACTGTGGATAATGACCATGTATGAAATTTGAACATTGTAATGGATCTAACACAAACTGGCCTTGAACAGCCCTTCCTAGTTTGGTTCCTAGGAAATTTTCCTCCCCCTTGTGTTGGGATAATGGGCGAAGCTGGCTGGGTTTCTATGATGCCTGAGGGCTGGGCTCGCTGCATGCTACTTAAGTGTCAAGAAAGACATTCCCTCAGCCTAGGAAGGGACTATCTCCCTTGTGCTCCTAGCAGGCTGCTATAAAGGGCAGAATTGCTCTGTCCAAGTAGCTTTGTTGCCTTGCTCCTAACCCTCTTTCTTCATAGCTCTCCTTTCACCTGCTCTTCCTCTCCATGTCCCCTGCCTGCCAATCCACATTCTGCTCTGCTCTCTCTTCCAGATCCTTGCCTCTGGTGATACTTCCCCCAAACCTAGAGCTCTATTTAAAGTCTAAGGCCTCAAGCAGCATTAGGGGACAGATGGGTAGCAGCATAATGTACTGTTGTGGTCATGGGAATGGCTGTGGGCAGTATTGAATGGTCATGGCCTGTTCATGGCTCGGACTAGATTGCTCACTAGCCACAGGAGTGAGGCAGGCAGCTTTGGAAACAGATGGCTCTGGGAAAAGGCAGTCAGGTATCATTGGGTCCTATACTTTCCTTCTGGTTCTTTCACACTGAAGTGCCCCTGATTTACCCTTGCATGTTTCCTTCTGGTGTTGATGGGCATTGGCATGTCTGTATGTGCACAGGGGCATGTATGTACACACATTAGCACAGCCCACTCAGCAGGGTTCAGGGATCACCAAGAACTCTTACTTTGGCAGAAAAGGATGAAAGAAAGCATGAAAAAACACCAAATGTAGACATGAATAAGCTGGGGCACTTCAGTTCTATACATCAGGGGTTTCGCTCCTCCCTTCCTCCGACCCACTCATCCAACTTTGACTGGTAGAAATCTAGGACCCAGTTCCCTAACAAACCCCACACACCCAAAGTTAGTCTCGGGGTATCTAAGGGGAACCAGATGGCTCTCCTCTGCCAGTGCTGTTCTACCAGGTCCTAGCCCAAGGACCAGTTCCATGACCCAGATCAGAGATCCCAGCTCACTTTCTTCATCTCAGTGGGTTAAGGTACTGTTGCAGCTTGGTTAGTCTTTGCCACAGATCCAGCTTAGGTCTAGTCAGCCCCTCCAGTAGAAGCACCTTCGCTGGCCTTTCTGCAGCTAGTCCTGCCACCTATTGCCCTCCACATCTTCTTTGTGGGAGAAAGCCCTTTTCCTCCCCTGGTTCAGCCTGAACACTGTTACCCCACCAAGTCCCATTGTTCACAGGATGTAGGTGACTGCCCCCCCAGAGCATCCCCCACATAGTCTATGTCTTTTTTTGTATATGGCCATGTCAATAATCGCCTCTCCCGTTTACACCTTACAGCAGATTCTGAAGTCACGAGGGTGGTGGAATCACGAGGAAACCTTGTTATAATCCCATAAGTGAAGCTGGCCAGAGATGCCTTTTCTGCTTGTCCCAATAGTGAGAACAAAGTGATTCAGCCTGCCTGATCTCTCAACAATGAGACTTCCAGATATAAAGGAACAACCACACCAGGTCAGCTCATGGCCCATCCATCACTAGTGCTCTCTCCAACAGTGGGAAGTACTAGTTGCTTGAGAAAGGTGTAAGCACTTTCCAGGGGGAAATTATGGGGAAAGAAAAGGTGAAACCACAACCTCCAACATTTGACCTCACAAACCAGGAGGGTTTAGATTCCCATCAGGGTGAGTTTATATTTTAAGTGTGTCCTCTCCTAATGCTGGCTGTTCTTGAGCTCTTTATCTGAACAACACTGGGTGGCAGAGCATCCCACAGGCTGACCATATTTTGTTAGAAGCTCTATTTCTTCAACCATCTCTGAATTAGCCACCTCTCAATTCATCCCTTTGTACTCATGTGAACAGCAGTGCCCTGTTCAGTGAAATTACAAGCCCAGACCAAGACCCCTACCTGGAATGAGGGATGGTGAAACATGTCCATCGTGTTGGTTACTTCGGGATCGGAGCACCTGTCGGGATGTACAAAGTTGAAACAAGTACAGAGGGGTCTGTTCAGGACTACAGTAGCATTTGTGGCCCCGGTGTGTTCTGGCACATGAGTAAGGAGTGGTGCAATCTGTTAAAGACTTACAGCAGACTAACTGGTTCCTAGAGCTTACCTGAGGGTTTGTATGAAACTTTTGGCTAGGCTGGTTGTAGCAGGGTGTGAAGGAGCAAAATATGTATGTTGTATTCTGTTGGAAACTAGAGGAAAGCATTCTTATGGGTGATATCAGCACTGGTCACAGGCAAGTGCCTTAGGTTCATAGACAGCAGGACTGGAAGGGACTTCACAAGCTCATCTAGTCCAGCCCCCTGCTCTCGGCCTGAGCATCCCTGACCAAATCATTCCAGCCACGTGTCTGTCTAACCTGCTCTTGAAAGTTTCCAAAGATGGAGATTTCACAATATCTCTAGGTAGCTACTTCCAATATTTGACCTCCCCCATAGCTCTTGTCGTACAGTGTTGCAAAATGTTGGTTGCCCAGTTTCAGCCAAATGTTGTTATGTTTGTAACATCCAACCCCTGGGGCTCAGCTTCTCCATAGAAATCCTCTTTGCAGGAATCAGTGCAGCCAGTGCCAGCTCAGCACAGGGCAAGGCCAAGCCCAGCAGTACCAATGGCCCCATGGCACCTGAAGCGGCAGGGAAAGCACTTCTGAAGCTGCTAGTTGAAGTTTCCCTGGGGGATCTTCCCCACCCCACAACTCCTCTGCCCTGACAAGCTGCTTGCAGTGGGCTGTAGGTTTCCAGCCAGGGCTCTCCCAAGGGCAGGGCTGGGCCATGTAGCCACAGCCTCATGTGCACCGTGTGCCAAGCTTTTGTCAGGGCCCTTGTATGATCCTTTGAGGAAAAGAGTCTCAGACTTCAGTCTCCCCTTCCACATCCCCTCAGCACAGTGTTTTATGAGAGGTTCAGATGCTTTGTCACTAGTGTCACACTGGCAGACATGGCCATTCCGTGCAGTGCCAGAGAATGCTCCTGTGCTGGGAGAGCTGGGATTGAGACCCCAAGGTGTGCATGCCACAACCAGCGAGCCCAGCCCTCTGTTAGCTAGGCTGAGAGCTGCTGTCAGTCCCTGCTGAGCTGGCTGGGTTGGACATCAGCTTGTGGCCCCGAGGTGTCAGGCTAGGCACTAGCACACCCCTGGGGCAGGCAGAGCCCCTCCACTGAGCTGGGGTGAATGTGCATCCAGAGATATCATTTCTATGTCAGGACATTGCAGAACCTCAGCTACAGCCTCCTCCTCCCCCCCAAACACTCCTCACACCCTGCAGTGTCGTGGAGCCCAGATCAAGGCTGCTGTGGCTGAGGAGATGAGAAAGCGTTTGCAGTCCCCTGTGCGGGATGCTAGTGTGCGGTGTGCTGTGTATTTGCTGCAGTGCCTCAGAGACAGAGGAGTGTTTCCTGTGCTCATTCACCATCTGTCTGGACCAGTGCAAATGTGCTGGGAAAACATAACAGCATATCGGAGATTGCATTGGACTGGATACCAAACGCAAGCTCTTCCATTCCCTTCTTCTGGGTGTCTTGGGTCTTGAATGGGGCTGGGTGGGCATTCAAACCCTGCTCTTCACATGTCACATAAGAGCAGTGACTACCAATAGGAGTTAGG